ATGGAGTGAACGAAATTCATTACTCATTAATGCAACAAAAACAAAAGCTGTAGTTTTTCATTTGCAGAGACTGATTTCCTTAGACAATAGATTACGTATAGGTAGTGCGGCTGTTGAAATTGTAGAAACCGTTAAAACATTAGGAGAACTTTTTAATTGCACAATGTCGTGGGATCCTCAGATTAATAATCTAATTACCAACCTATCAAAATGTGTGGGCATACTTGCACGAATGCGTTATTTTCTTCCAGTTTCTGTTAAACTAACACTTTATAACAGCTTGTTTTTGTCGCATGTAAATTATTTTCTTTTAGTATGGGCAAGTACGACAGCAACGAACATAAGTAAAATATACAGACTACAAAAAAAGCGATCAGGTTTATAGCAAATGTCGATTACTATGCACACAATGATGAACTGTTTCAGCGCTATAATATTGTCCCAATTCACTTACTTTACGAGTATTCCCTAGCAATAAAATATAAGCAATTTCTTTTTCATAACAATCGTGCCTTCTTAGATATTTTTGAACTGGAAACGCATGCTAATCTGTACCCTACTCGTCACCAACAACATTGGAACCTTCCATTCTGTAGAGCAAACTTTGGGCGACAAATGTTATGTTTTAGTGTTCCTTTGTTATTGAATAAATTACTAGAGGCAAAAATAATCCTTGAGAAATGCAGTTCACGTGACATTAGGAAAGTGCTTTTATCGTGAAAATCGAGAAAATGGTGGTCTAGGCATTCATGGAACTGTCTATATATGTATATGTGTGTGTATATATGTGTATATGTATGTATATATGTGTATGTATATATATGTGTATATATGTATGTGTATATATGTGCATGTATATGTATATATATATATATATGTGTATGTGTGTACATGCAATTTCTATGCATAGCATTGTTGTCATATATATAGTATTTTGTATTTCGTCATATTTTGCATTGTACTTCGGAATTTGTGCCGAAAGAAACTATTTACGCATATTAGTCTCTGTACATAGCATTACTGTACGTGCATCTTCCGACTTGTACTGCGCCAAACATCTCATGGCCTATGTTCGTTACCTATATGTTCATGGCTTATGTTTCTTTACCCATGTCCACGTTGCTTGCCATGTATTAGGGAGGCTCGGGTTCTCCTCAAGTGACAAAACGTCACTTTTCTCCCGAGCCTGCCCTCATCCTTGGGATGAAATAAAATTGAATTGAATTGAATCTATCTATCTAGCCGCCTACGACTAATTTTAGCTCTCCTGGCCGTTTCGATAACGGTATCGATACCCAAACTTTGTATCACATAACATGACTTATGAAGAACACATTTGACTAGTCATAACATGAAAATCATCACATGTATGTCATGAATGTCATGATTTACATTTCATGGTCCTGCAGCTCTTCCGGTGGTTTCGTTCACATGGCTTGTTGCAAAACTGGTATGGTATGACGTGATCGCATGGCGAACACAAGCGACATACCCTAACATGAAAATCACGACATGCGTGTTATGTAACAGCATGACTACATGCCACGCTCATGCATAATCCGCTCGTGGCCGTTTCGCTTGCCTCACATATATCAAACTTGGTATTACGGTAGTTGAATTAATGACAAAGGTATGTGACTGGTGCAAGCATGATAACCATGTAAGCATGTAAGCATGTAACAACATGACTACATGCCACGCTCATGATGCGCTCGCGGCCGTTTCTCTAGTTTCACATGTACCAACCTTGGTATTACGCGAATGGACGACATAGGTAAATGACACATCCAAACATGATAAATGACATGCGTGTCATGTAATGACCTGTCTACATGCCACATTCATGATGCGCTCGCGGCCGTTTCGCTAGCTTCACATGTGCCAAATTTGGTATTACGGGACGTCAATGGATGACGAAGGTAAGTGACTAGTGCAAACATGATAATAATGAGATGCGTGTCATGTGAGAACGTGACTACATGCCACAGTCAAGGCGCCAATATATTTCAACGTGACGCGGACCGCGTTCTTGCCGGCGTTTATTTCGTTGCGTCACGCCGGCGTTGCCACGCCAGGAACCGCTCCTGCCATACACTCGCAGGCGCATGCCCCCCTGCGTTGCTTCGACGCATGCGCGGTTGAGTGTGTCCGGCGTCCCTCCATCACGAAAATATGGAGACGCAGTGTTGTCTGGGTAACGCATTGGCACGAAATGCAGCATGTCTCATTTCACGCCGGTTGTCGTCTGACCGCGCCGACGGACGCCGGTCGCGCCTGGCATCAGACTATTAAGTGCTCGCGTTTTGCTAGCGTAGCGTCGCTGTGCCCAGCATGCGCGCGTGCGTCAACGCTACATTAGAGTAGATTTGGCTCTTGATGATGCGCTTGCGGCCGTTTTGCTAACTCCACATATACCAAATTTGGTGTTACGAGACGTCAATGGATGACGAAAGTATATGAATGGTGCAAACATGATAATGATGACAAGCGTGTCATTTAAGAAAATGACAGGATACCACGCTCATAGCGTGCTCGTGACCGCTTCGCTAGCTCCACATATACTAAATTTCGAATCAAGTAACGTGAATAGTGGACGACGAAGGTAAATGACACATCCAAACATGATAATCATGACATGGAAGTCATGTACGGCATCGTTTGCCTCCACCTCGTAACGTTGTGCTGATTTTAATGTGACATATATCAACCTTTCTCATTCGTGCTTCACTTATCATCGATTCCCACTGTATGTGCGATCTGCCAATTTTTTAATCCATGCCCCTTCAACACTTTGAGTCGTATTATGCTATCTTTGATCGCAACTGGCGCGGTTTCATCCACAAAAAAACCGCGAAGATGTTTGCCTTCTGGATGTTTGAACAATAGATTGTCAGATTATAAGGCTTCATTGAGAGGGACACCTTCTTCTAATCTTTCTTTACATTGCAGGGAGCACGGCTACGCACCTTCGCTATCGGAAACTAAGGTGCTCGCACAATTAAAAAGAAAGATTGAACGGGAAATCGAGGAAGCATATTTTATTGAGAGATTGGTCGAGACATGCGTAAAAAGGCCCTCTATCACGCTGCATGCGAGTGAGATGATTATTTGAGCACCTGCCACTAATACAATTTATGTTTTCCTAATGTGACTCGTGACTTTGTTGACCTGTACACATAGGTGTGCCTTTTGAATAAATTAAGTTGATAGCTTGTGCTTGTCCGTCTCTCGTATTTATTTCGCACTAAAAGCTACCATAAGAATGAACCAACTCACCCAACGAGTCACTCTAATGAAGGTTTCTTTTTTTACCTCGACATTTTTTATACCAACTGTCCCCTGAGCCACACGAGCGACGTAACCCACTGTATCGACACTGGCGACACCAGTCCCCTTCGTAAGCACCCTTATCGTGTGTTTCACTCAGAGCGCCAAATTATACAGAAGGAGGTAGAGGAAATGCTCAACAAAGTCGTCGTAGAGCCTTCCTCAAGTCCTTGGGCATTACCAGTCCTGCTTGTTAAAAAGAGGCACAACAGCTGGCAGTTCTGCGTTGACTATCGCCATCTCAATCGAATTACCAATAAGGACGTCTATCCTCAAGCTCGAATGCCTCCATGGTGCCAAATATTTCTCTTTGCTGGACTTCCAATTTGAGTACTGGCAGATTTCCGTCAACGACCTACAATTCCGAGAAGACCCCCCCTTCATCACACCCGTCACCATTTTATCTTCTACTTTGCCATGATCCTTTACTACTTTTCGATACGCTGCTCACTACTTTTCGATAAAGCTGACCCTCCATCTACCCCCTCGTACGCTCAAGATACCATCTCTTGTGCTCTCATTGCTCGTACAGTAGGCCACGATCGGTTCTCATCGTCACTGAATGCACAAAAGTCGCTTTATGACAGACATAATAGGGATGTCAATTTTCCTCCGGGTTCTGCTTGAAACTTCTATCGCGATACGTCGGGCTTTACAGAGTTCTGCGCTAGGTGACACCTGTCGCCTAAGAGATTTCCTGGACTACGAACTCAACTGTTACATCCAGAAATAACATCGCGCATGTTTTTCGCCTGAAGCCATATAACAGTGACATGTCCTTTAAAACACAGCAGGCACAGAGACTGTGCTTTGCCGACCGGGTAATTTCACGGCTATAAAAAGGTACCCCAGGCACAGGTGTCGAAATGACACCGAATGGATAAAGACAACGACGTTGTTGTTGTGGGACTGAGTCTAAGCTGCCCTGTTGTCCTGCATTCCTGTGCTCTGTGTGCAGTGCTAACCTGACGGGCTTTAACTTAATAAATCCTTCCCGTAACAATACTTTTGAACTTTCACATCTTTAGCTACAGAGTAAATTATTCCATTGTTTATTGTCTATAATTGCGATACTTGTTTTGTATGCCGACTGACCAATTTTATGAGTGCATTTCATAGTTTTCTGAAAGTGCCGCACTTAGGTTCTTCGCACTGCAATACCACTAGGTTGAATTTTTTTTTTCCAGACACGTCTCTGATCTCTTCCTTGCATCTGCTTGCGTAAGAAACGACCTCACTTGCTGTGATCCCTGTTGCCAACTACGCGCTGGCAACAATATCAAGGCAGGCATCGGCTGCAAGAGATGTTGTGTGTATGTGCGTGGCTGCCACTAAATAGGAACAATTACGTGGTTTAAATTGATAAACTGCCGTCTGAGAACTTTAACGCTATATGTTTTGCTATCATAAGTTCATTATTGGCAGAGAAAATGGAGGTTAAAATTTCACATATAAATTTGCAACTCTCAGAGGGCCTCCTTCCACTGAAGGGGGACTTCATGCACCGACGGTCACCTTTATGAACACTCAGTCAGATTGATTAAGATGTGCTAGGTTGGTTGTATAAAGTTAGTGTGGAATACATCTGGCTCTGGCAAAGTGAAAAAAAAACATTTCATGATAACAGGGTCATTTCATTGACACTTTTTAGCAAAGACACGGACATATGCCAATTTTATTTTAGAGCACCACCTTCACAGTAGGAAGCAGCCACATATACTTTATTCTTTTGTAAAATATGAACAAGTTGACGAGTGACCAGTGAATAGTCAAACCAAATAGTTAGCCAGTGGTGTATGGCTGAGCTTAAATGGTTGCAAGATGAAACAATAGTCTACGTTTTTGAATCAAGTGAGTTAAAGAGACACTAAAGAGAAAAACAATTTTTCATGTATTACTAAAGTACAATTTCACACTCCTGAAAACACCACTCTTACCACGAAACGGTGCTTGATGACAAGAAAACATGCAAAAAGAAAGTGTACGCGAAGACGCCACCTTGAGATACCCACACTAATCACCGTGATGTCGGATTTTGAAGGCATCTACTCAGTCCTACACAGCTTCCTATTGATAAAATCGAAGTACATTGTTACCTGTGAGTGCCATAAGCCTAGCATACTAAGTTTGGGCAAATTTCATTGAGACAATGTTGAGGAAATATGAACATTACATTTTGAAAGTTTTGGCACACCATGCACATAGATTTTGGTGCAAAATTTAAAAGTGAAACTTCAACCTTCATTTTCTCCGCTAATAATGAACTTACGATAGCGAAAAATATGCCATTAGAGTTCTCAGAGGTGAGTTTATCAATCTGAAACAAGTTATTGTTCCCCTTTAGTGTCCCTTTAACATCAATGGTGGTCACTGAATATGATGCAAAAACTACAACTGTTTATGGTTTCAGAAGATTGGCTCACATGGGAATGTCAGGATGACATGTCTTTACTAAAATGCTATTGCACAAGTCAAGAGTTTATAAAATACAAAATCTATCAGGCACAAAAACAACTTTCACACAAGGGCTATCAGGCTGTGAGAATGTATTCTTTTTAAGCCACCAGATCAAACAGCTACACTAACGTCGAAATGTTACCTGTTAACAGTTAAATTCAAATCTATACACACTTACACACTATGGACAATGCACTCCTGGGGCCTTGGCAATAAAAGGTGAAAAAAAAAAGTACTACAAAGAGTGCAAAACTATTGTTTGATTGATTTGTGGGGTTTAACGTCCCAAAACCACCATTTGGTTATGAGAGACGCCGTAGTGGAGGGCTCCGAAAATTTTGACCACCTGGGGTTCTTTAACGTGCACCCAAATCTGAGTACACGGGCCTACAACATTTCCGCCTCCATCGGAAATGCAGCTGCCGCAGCCGGAAATTGAATCCGCGACCTGCGGGTCAGCAGCCGAGTACCTTAGCCACTAGACCACCGCGGCGGGGCCGGGTGCAAAACTATGAACAACTATGTAAACATACGCCTGAGCAACTACAAGGTGTAAAACACTTTAGGTCAAAAGTCCTATGGCATCAGTGCAAGCCATAAATTGAATGTAGACTGCAGTGGGGCTTGTCGAACTAGCACATTGAGACCAACTCACAGCTTCTTCGGTCCTTGACTACCAAAGAATCGGTGCCGTTCAGTCACACAGCTGAAACAATGGGGTAGGAAAACCTGTGTAATGACGATGATGATGATGAAAAAAACATCAAAAGGCCCAGTCCTCCAGGTCATCTTCTGAGTAGTGAATAATGCACGTCCTCATCTTTTTGAAAATGAGCACAGCACATATAGTCCCAGTAGGTATGCTTTAACATAACCTAGTTTAAAAAACTCGCTCAGCGTCTCTTTTTTCCACCCCCGGCAGCAGCAGCAGCTTCAGATTCCTGTTCAGCCCGATATTCTTCCATCAGCTGCTGCTGCACCTCAGGCCTTGCTGGGGAGTAGCGCGAGTACTCCATGGTGAACTCGCCCTTGCCCTGTGTCATAGAACGTAGCTCCGTCGAGTAGCCAAACATGTTGTTCAGAGGCACCTGTAAAATGCAACAGACCTTTCTGTGAGTGCATGCAAAGCCAGATTTAATGAAAGGTTCCAGGAAGAAGTGGCCTTCCACGACAAAAGCCCGATCTCCTAACTAGCTTATTAATACTATTAATATTTACAAATCATGCCAGCAGTATGATTATGCAGGCTTAATGACAACTACACTATGAAGTGTGCTTTACCAAGACGAGCTCAATAAAAACGAGGTAAGAATATTCCTGCACAGTTTCTGTCTTACCCACATTCTCCGTTGAAGCTACCCACAAACAGGAACTTTATTGAAGTGCACGAGGATAGCATATATTGATGGAATTAAATTATACTGAACGTCAATGAAATGTGTACAGCTCGAATAGGCACTGGTGGCCGCCAAGTTTTTCTCTTTCTAGCGATGCTCAACAGTTACCCTGATGACCTCATTCTTGGGACACACTTCCTAGTAATGTATTCTGCCATGATCGACTATTCCGCTGGTACTCTTCGCCTGGAACTTCCTCATCTACAGGATACCCAATTCAAACCTCTGAACAGCCGCTGTACAACAGACTTTATCTGCATGCCACCTAAAGCTCCAACAATCATCTACTTGGCAACAACTTCACTCATGTTTGTAGTGACTGCGTAGTCAAACTCATTCCTGATGTCCACGTCGCACCTGACATCACTGTTCCAAAAGTAGCACGTCACCCTTAATTACTTTGGGTGAAAGCACTTTGTGCAAGAAAGAGGACAATTTGTAAAGCGGTGAACGGGTATAGTTGATGATGGGGCACATCGATATGCCAGGTTTATAAATTTTCGGCAGTTCTAAAATACTGGGGCCTATTCACTATGACACAAGAACGCGCAGTATAACCCTTGCTGCATGGTGATATGAAATGAAAAATAGCAGATTTTAGAACTCACACTGCAACTTGCATGTGGCGTTTTTTTTAACTGAAGATAGTAAGTGTGTACGTCCGCCAGTGAGACAGCATTTCGCTCTTGAAGTTTGACCTGTTGAACAACATGGTAGCATTCCCTTTGCCAGTAACGTTACTATTTTAATGTTGCTTTGAATGCGTTTTATGGCTGATTTTTTAGCAGGAGAAAGTGGTAAAATGGAAGACTAAGGCTTTAGCTTTGAAAGGATGCTTAATAGAGTGAGTACGTGCCTCGTCCTGCTTGGCAGCTTCAACGTGGCTCACAGCGGCTTCCAATGCACAGACAAGTTTCTTGGCATTTGCTGCAGGTCTCAGATTCAAGTTTAGTCCAAGGTTTAAAACCGAAAGTTCTACCTTGTTTGGAGCGTGCGACGATAAGTTATGCACTGTAGATTTTTCAGCCTTGCGATAAAGTCCAGTTTCCTTCAGTGCTAGTCTGTTCAGCTTGGTTTCATGGACAGCTTCACATCAATGACTTTGCAGCTTTGCCTTTAAATAAGCATTGATTTGAATGGTTAGAAAATGCACGGGATATTGGTGTTCGAGACAGCAACGTGCAAAAAATGCTTCATTCTCCAAGGTGTGGACACTTTCACGGCAGATCATTATTCTTACCTGCGGTTCACCTTGTACCCACAACTTGTAGGTACTGTCCTATTCAGACAAAGGGAGCATAGTATGAGGTTGCGCGCTTTGCAGGACAGCTTCATGTTCAAGTGTCCCCTGCAGGCAGTCACTTTGCTTGTAAGGGAAACGTACTGATGAATCGATTGGGAGTGATGTTATTTCCATAAGGAGACGATGCATACTTTCCAGGAAAAAAATATACATGCCTATATTCAAGTGTTGTGAAAAATAATTCGCTATTTCTTAATGCCGAATTGGGAACACAATTACAGAGCAATGCATAGTACCATGGTGGTTAAATTCGTCAAGGCTTCACTTCAACTTCAAAGTCACGCAAATTTTCTGCAACAAACTGAAGAATCAAGTACTATAAGGGTTAATTGAGAATAACTTCATATCATTTTGTTTAAAAGCTCAATAAAGAAATGCCACGAATCTCAAGAACGAAATCCATCCATTGTAAGTCTGAATCCTGTACTGCTCATCATTGCCATGGCTAGTACACAAATTTGTCTAATCTTCGTTTTTTCACCCCCCTTTTGCTTCACGTGACCTCGAGCTGCTTTGTCACAAAACGGCAACCGGCAAAGGTTAAAGGGACTGTCTACCGTCCTTCATTGCTCTCCTGTTTTGTGTCGCAATAAAAAGCATACCATGTGAAGTATACCTTAGAGCGGTTTCTCTGGAAAGTGAATAGAAATCTTTAAAACAGAATTTTTCTGTCCGCATTATGTCTTCTTCTATCGAGGGGATGAATGCCCACAACACTTGTCGGTGCCGGTGAAAGTTGAAAACTGAAACCATGTGCAGTTTTTGCAGGCTTGATCAAATTTGGTTAATAGTAAAACAAATACCTTAGTAGCTGTTTTAGGCATGCACACACTTTTTTATTGTTCTAATGAGCACGGTGGACGCCATTGTCGCATTTTTTCGCCGTTTGCAGGCAGGCAAGCGCACACACACCACCGGCAGCGCCGCTGGGTGCCTATTGGAACGTGTAAGAAAAAAAAAACAGAAATTAGTCTCTGGCGCAACCTAAAGCTTCCTGAAGTGCACAAAATACAATTTCAAAATAAACGTGTTTGTTTTTAGGCAAAACAAATCTACCTGCGAGGATTTCTTGTCCTACCAATAGATTGTCAAGACTGACCACATTCAATGTTGGGTGACACCAGTGGTCACATTTTACCTTCAAGCAGTTACCTTCAAGCAGTTACGCTTCACAAACTCAACCTTTTTATGCTTGCCAATTCAAATTGGGTCACAAAGTTCAAAATGATCAATATTTCATTTGAAAAAAAAAAAAAACACAGCAATAAACAAAGCTACAAATGCATTTGAAGCCCGCAAGCACGATCATTATGCAAATTTAAGTACTACCCGTCATTCCCATGATTGCTGAATGATCGCAGCCCCGGAATCCCCTCTACTTAATTTTAGAAAGCTCTATGGTTGAAGCACCACTCAGTGAGCCTAGTGTAGACACTAGTTCCAGATTCTCCACTAGGTTTCATAGTATGAAACTATATGATTTCCATCTAACGGCTTGTGTTCCTTGCTCGCCTCACCCTTGGATTGACACTGGTGCGCTATGTGCATTGCGACGACCAAGTACCGTATTTACTCGAATGTAACGCAAGTTTTTTTCAAAATCTCTCTGAAGTGATTTGGGGGTCCGCGTTATAATCGAAGCACCTCAAATCGTGTCTTGGCGGTGCCGCCCCACTGGTTCCTTAAAATGGCTACGACAAACCTAGTGATCTTTCAACCTTGTGCTGGCAACACATGCACGCTGGCAACATCGAATCCAATCCAATCCTATTGTTCGCGACGTGTTTTGCGGGCGGTTCATTTCCTTTGTGCTTCCGCGACTTCGGCTCGAGCAAATGGCAGCGCGACGTGTTCAGTACGATGCATGCTTTAAGAGAAGTGCAATACTGATGGCTGAGGAAATCGAGAACTCAGCCGCGGCTCGACGGCTAAATGTGGCAAAATTTACTATCCGTGGGTGGAGGCTCCAGTGTGAAGCGCTCTTCAAGAGTGAGCCCGGCTGAAAAGGCTTCCGTGGACCTCGTTGTGGCCATCACACAGAACTCGAAAAAAAAGTGGCAGAGTTTGTGATTAAGCAGCAAAATCGCCTGTTGGGGGTCAATGTTGAGCTGATTCAGTGGAAAGCCCGAGACGTAGCTCGAGAGATGGGGATCCCGCGGGAGAACTTTAAGGCTTCACGTGGATGGGCACAAAAGTTCATGCGAAGAAATGAATTTTCCCTCCGGCGAACAACGTCGATAAGGCAGAAGCTACCAGCAGATTGCGAAATGAAGCTAGTGGAGTTTCAGCGCTATGTGCTCGACCTGCGCCGCTCGTCGCAAATGTCGTTGGGGCACATTTGCAACGCGGACCAGACTCCCGTTTTTTTCGACATGCCTATGTCAAGGACTGTCAGCGAAACAGGTGCCCCGCAAGTTCGCATAAAGACAAGAGGCAACAAAAAGACGCGGCTAACCGTGATGCTAGCCTGCTTGGCGGATGGGCACAAGTTGCCGCCATACATCATTTTCCGGCGCAAAACCATCTCGAAGGAGCTGTTTCCCAGGGATGTGATTGTTCGCTGCCAAGAAAAAGGTTGGATGGACACTCCGCTTATGCTTGACTGGGTCAAGACTGTGTGGTGCCTACGGCCAGGTGCGCTCCTCCAGCCCGCCTGCATCCTAGTTCTCGACTCATTTCGTGGTCACCTGACGCCCGAAGTGAAGAAGCTGATGCGGGAAACTCAGACGCAGCTCGCTGTTATTCCCGGAGGTATGATGTCCTTGCTGCAGCCATTAGAAGTCTGCCTGAACAAACCATTTAAGGATAGAATGCGGCAGCTGTACGGAGAATGGATGCGAGAAGATCGGGCTTGGACACTTACGGGTAGGATAAAGCGACCTAGCACCGCGAAGATTGCCAAGTGGGTGTCCGCCGCTTGGTACGGGCTGACGCACGACATGATAGTTCGCGCGTTTAAAAAGTGCTGTATATCGAACTATATGGACGACACGGAGGATGACTTCATCTGGGAGGAAGAAAGTGACAAAGAGGGCTCGACCACCGGCGATGAAAGCGACGAATGAACAAAACTCACTTTATATTTAGAAACTGGGATGTCTTTGCCACTACCATGTGCAGCAAATAAAGGTACTTTTTCCCCCGCTTTACTCGCGTTACATTCGTGTTCTCTTTATTTTTTTTCGGCACTGAAAAGTCACCCCTCGCGTTACAATCGTGGTCGCGTTACATTCGAGTAAATACGGTAGGTGAGTACATTTCTTTTGATACCAATGTGTTCTGTTATCCAGACCAGCTGGAGTGCGCTGAAGCATTTTGTTTCCTTCGTTGCTTTGGCCATAAAGTTCCTAAAGTTAACTAGAGGGGACTCTGGCGCTGCGATCGTTCAGCGACCATGGGAATGATGGGTAGTACACACATTTGCCTAGTCTTCATACTTGCGGGCGGCGAACCGTACTTGCGGCTTCGTTTATTGCTGGTTATGGTTTTGTTTTGAAGGAAAGAAAAAAACCCTTTTGAAGTTTGTGACCCGATTCAAAATGGTAAGCCTAAAGAAATATGGTTGTGAAGCGCAAATGCTGAATACTTGCTAATTTTTTTTTTTCATGAAAAAAACAGCTCCAGTTTCACGAACACACACGGAGCCAGAAGCAGGCCAGAAGTACAAAAATTAGACAAATGTGTGTACTACCCATCATTCCCATGCTCGCTGAAGCGCCCTGCGTTGCAGCTACCATAGACTCTAGCGTCAGAGTTCCCTCTAGTGTATATTAAGAAACTCTATGGCTTTGACGACTGCTGTGCAGGCCCGTTTTTCTTCAGTAGATTCTGCATGCTTGCATGAAGTCAGTCAGGATGTGGGCTTCATCTTGCGCATTTTTTGTGCACTGCAATAGCACCAGCATTCACTGCAGATAACATTAGTGTTTTTTTTTTCTTATTATAAGAGATATGTTATATTTAAGGGAGCAGCGGCAGCGAGCGTGCCGACCATAGGAGAAAGGAAGAGGACAAGGATGATCAGGTGTGCTCGGAGTGGCACGCGGCCGCCACTGGCAGCAGGCAGTTGCGGCCTGGGTTCTGATCAATAAAGGAGGTCCCAGGTCTGGCTCCGCATCTTCTTTGCGGAGTTCTGGGCTGAGCAGCCTCGAAAACCCCCAACATATTTTTCTCGCCAAGAACAAGATGTGCAGTTGAGTTCAACAATTTCAATGTCATAATAATGTCAACTTTCTATTTTGGACTGATTAAATGTGTGTGAAATCTTGATTTGGAGAGATTTGCAATTAGAGCAATTAGGTCAGTGGGATTTGTGTTTTCTGCCTCTCTTTAGCTCAAGCTGTTGGGCGATTTGGTCAGTTTTGCTGATACTTTAAAAACTAAACTAATAGATGTTGCCTATATTTAACCATCAAAACTATAAACCTTCTTTCATAAGGTTGCTGTAGCTATCAATATTTCTCTTTTTGGGAAAAACAGATTTTTTTTTCTCCTTTTATTAACACGGTTTTTATTTGAAGCAATCCGCATGAATAAGTAGCATTCTTTGTTGCTCAAAAAACGAGCTGAGCCGGGTTCCAATGTAGTATCTTGTAGTGTAGCAAAGAAGAAAATGGTGCAACATGCCTCAACCACAAGGGTGGACCAGCCTTCACTAGCATCGGTTGAAATGACGACCCCCTGGCGCTTGCTCAGTGAACTCAGCACCGATCCCTGGAACTCTTCAGGTGTCGACACCTCTACGCTCATAACCGGCTCCAAGAGGTACCAGTTGCCATATTGGTACACTGCACACACATACCAGCCACATACCTCGTGATGAAGCAGCTCTTATTTTGTGATGAAGCAGCTGCTTCATCAGAAAATACCAAACATGCTCTAGCTCTTATGTTAACACATCGCTGGTAAGCTCGATTGGTCACCATACCAAGACAACATAGCTATCTATGGCATAGTTTCCTCACAGTTGTTGTGCAGTGTAACGGTTAATTTGTCAAGCACGTAACCATGCTTTGTCAAATTTTTATAGGACTTGAAAGCACTGCACAGAGCATGTTACTGAAGTCAACACTTCGACGAAAGGACTTGTCCTCAGTTGGAGATGATTGTGCAAGCTGGCAGTGAAGGACAGTCTCCTTTGTCCACAGCCTCCTCATGTAATGAACTGCCAAGCAGCCCTGAGTGGTCACTGTTCTTTGTTAAGAGGTGACAAAGATCAAGTCCTCTTGCCCACATGTTGATTCCAGCAACATTCCCTGTTCACTAACGCCTCCAGCTTGCTCTGTACTTTTCTCGCGTCTAGACAACAGCATATCAGACTTGAAGGGCATAAGAAGATGGCCTGATGCAGCCTGCAATGACCATAGCTAAGGCTTTGCGAGAAGAAAATGGTATACATATGCAACATTGGTAAAATAGATATTGACGTGCTGCTCCTTATTCCCATTTATTCTCCATTTGTGCACGTGAACTGCTGCTGTTGCCATGTTTCGTATTGAAATGTCTAACACCATAATATCACCTGAATTTATTAGAGCCCTTTTAATCAAATGTTGCAGATAACATAACACCAAGTAATGCAACTAGTCTTTTGTCAAGATCTGGTACAGACATCGGTCCACAATGATTATGTCAACTCACCTTGTTTTATGGCACCCTGGGCTGCCAAGAAGAAGGAAATGTCGTTTGAGTCCACCACGTGGTTGTCACCTGCATGTTCCAAAATAGCAAAATAATACTGATTGGTGACTTCAACTTCCCAGGAGTCAACTGGGAGCGGTTCCAGACAGACTATGAATCCAACAAGCAAATACATATTTTGTTTGATATAATGCTTACTCACGACTTGATCCAATTAGTTAAAGAACCCACTCGTGTCAACGCTACATCCAGTTCTGTACTAGATCTTGTATTCGTTCACCGCGACTTTAGAGAGAGTACAGTAACAGTAGAAAAGGGCTTGTCAGATCATCATCTTGTTTGTACCTCTCTGCCATTGGGTCGGTCTGTCAGTACTGATAAATGTTCATCACGCTCTTTCAAGGATTATTCACAAGCTAACGATGAATGTATAATTGAGCATTTGGAATCTTCCCTTGATGATTTTGATGGGGACGACGTATGCGCCCTTTGGAATAAATTTAAAGAAATGTGCCAACACTGCGTACAAAATTTTGTGCCAAACAAGCCAAAAGAGTCAATAAATACACGCCTTGGGTAACCCGGAAGATAATTCACCTTAAGCGAAGAATTAAACGCTTAAAAAAAAGACATGTACAATCGCCCGTTGTAGAAGAGATAAAGAATACTTTGGCACATGAGGTTCGTGGCTCCAAAGACTATTATTTTAAAACATTGTTGCCTAATTTTATTAAAAATGACCCCAGTAACTTTTGGAATTATATTTCTGAAAAAAAGAAGCCAGTGAAGGAAATTGTAGTGAGTGGTTCTGTTATTTCAGACCCGCAGGCAATTGCTCAGCATTTTAACCAGTACTTTCAAAGTGTATTCTCTGATTCTTGCACATGTATGTTGGCGCATACCGCAGTGTATCGTCCTAGTGATGTTGGCTTTATTTCTTACTCTGGTGTGTTATCTATTCTTTTGAACCTTAATACAAAAAAATCATGCGGTCCCGACAGCATTCCAAACATATTTCTTCGTCGCTTTGCTGAGTCACTGGCTAAATTTCTTGTTGTTTTATTTGGTACTTCTTTAATGTATGGCGAGCTCCCCGAAGACTGGAAGATAGCTCTGGTTGTACCTATCTTTAAAAAGGGCGACTGCCTATGTTTTCAAAATTACCGTCCAATATCACTAACATGTTCTTGTTGCAAACTAATGGAACACATTGTCGCCACTCGCATTCTTGAATACTTAAACGACCATAATATTCTAACAGGTTTCCAGCACGGGTTCAGGAAAGGGTACTCCACCGTCACACAGTTAGTTACAGTATTTCATTCATTTGCACACACCTTAGACAACACCGGTCAAATAGATGCAATATTTCTAGACTTCAGTAAAGCATTCGATAAGATACCACATGACAAATTAATTCTTAAGATGCGAAATATTGGCCTCCCCGAAATTCTGGTCACATGGGTTGCAAATTACTTGACAAACCGCAAACAACTGGTCATAATAGATGGAATAGGGTCCGGCTATCTTGATGTCACTTCGGGAGTTCCTCAGGGAAGTGTGCTGGGTTCATTGCTTTTCATACTGTATATAAATGATATTGTTAATGAAATTACAACTGGTGTGCAAATTCGGTTGTTCGCAGATGATGCAGTCTTGTTTCAGGATGTTTCGTGCTGTGCTGATCAGTGTGAACTTAATACCAATCTTACTAATATACTTGAATGGTGCAAGAACTGGGGAATGGTGCTGAACGCCGACAAAACACTGTATCTTCGCATAACACGAAAGAAAGTTCCGTACGACTATCAATACACACTAGGAACATCGCCATTGAAACAAGTCACCAGTCATAAATACCTCGGTGTCACACTAATCAGCAATCTCTCGTGGAATTTACACATTGACAATATTTGCTCATCTGCCTTTCGTAAGCCATGCTTCTTAAAACACGAACTCGGAAATTCCCCTTCTAACGTCAAGCTCCTCAGCTACTTTACTTTTATTAGACCTAAGCTCGAATATGCCTGTATAGTCTGGGACCCCTACACTAATCACAACATCCGTAAAACAGAAAGAATTCAGAGAAAAGCTGTAAGGTTTATTTACTCTAAATACTCACGTACTGATTCTCCCTCACAAATAATGCTTGCTAACAAAATCCCCAGCCTTGAATCCAGGACAAAGTGCTTCCGTCTTGATTTCCTTTCTTCACTAAGTAAAGGTGCACTGTCCATTGACCCATCTCCGTTCTTGTCACCGTTACAAACAAGACCTACTAGGCACCACAACCCGAATGCTTTCGCCCCATATTTTGCTGCTACTGACACCTTCAAGTACTCTTTTTTTCCGCGTACGATACAAGAGTGGAATGAATTACCCCCTGTATAAGTGCCTTGTTTGCTTGTATTGTTTGTATTTTTGCATTTTATCTTCTTGTGCCCCCTGCTTGGACCTAACCATGGTCTGCAGTATGTATTAAATAAAATAAAAAAATTAAATAAAAAATGTCATCACGTTGACTGTGAAACCCTGGCATACGAACACCGGCTACTTCAAAGCTGCCTGTTGTGGTTTCAGATGGTTCATGAGCTCTTTTTGCTGCCCTCATCAGTGGCTAACAGCACTGGCACTGGAAAAATGCACTTTTACTAACGACAAATATTTCTCAGTGATCTATCAATATTTGGTGCTTTTTCTTTAACCCTTTAATGCCTGAATTGTGGTACTGCTAAAGAAAACAAATATTGGTTTCATTTAACAGCTTTAAATAGCAATCTTTAAATGATTCCACAGTTATATTATCTAAAATGCAATCTTTTTATTTTTTTATTTATTAGAATACCCTCAGGGCCCGTAGGGCATTACAGAGGGGGTGGGTACATCATATATAACACACAAGAAAAAAGACAAAATAAAGAAACAAGTATCAGATGTGCAAATCAGGAAGGCAACATAAGTCAACTAAAAATGTATAAGAATTCAAGCACATACAAGACAAAGATAGATAATGGAAACTGCGTATAGTTACAAGCATTGCTGAGAAATTGCAGTCTTGAATAACAAAGGGTCTGTTATTGATACAACGGAAGAGGGAAGGTGGTTCCAATCGGCGGCTGTTTTCGGTAAGAAGGCTGCTGAAAAGAATTTGGTGCGGCAAAACGGAATGGCAACCTTATGCTGATGATCAATGCGCGATGAGTGGTATGACGGTTGTCTCGCTTCATTGATGGATTGTGAAAAAATATCTTATGAAAAAAATGCAGTCGTGCCTTAATCTTAATGTATACTTTTATGTATTTGCCAAATTCTATACATATTGTTACGTGGAAAATAACAGTAGTCAGTCTACAGCCTCAGCGCAGCTGACCGACAACGTCCACTTCTTCACTCTCAGTCTGAGGCACCTTTCTTGGGTATGTCCCACTATGCCCTGTTTCAGTCAGCTTAAATCACGTAACACGACCCCCGGCGGCAGAAGCGCCTACCCGGCGAGTTTACGGGGCCACAGCAGGAGCAGTGTAGTAACGCTTGAGCCTTGATACGTGGACGATGTCCCTTGACAGCAGAGCAGAAGAGGTTGATGGATTATCAGGGACAATTTCATATGTAGTGTCGGTCACTCGTCTAAGCACGCGGTATGGGCCCGTGAAACGAGAGAGGTTTTTCTGAAAGGACTGTATGTCACGTAGGAGACCAAAGAAGAACGAGGGAACCTGTTGGAAAGTGTTCGTCGCGATGCCGCTCGTCGTAACGATGCTTCTGCGAGTCTTGAGACGCCATTAATCTGCTGCGGGCAAGCTGACGAGCATGGTCAGCTCGGGTAATAGCGTCGCGTGCATATTCAGAAGTAGACTGCGCAGCGGCTGGCAGGAAGGTATCCAACGACAATGTTGGTTCGCGTCCAAACAGAAGGTAAAATGGCGAGTACCCAGCAGTGTCATGCCAGGAGGAATTGTATGCGAACGTCACGTAGGGTAGTGCAAGGTCCCAATCACGATGGTCGGCCGAGACGTATTTCGATAGCATGTCTGTCAGGGTGCGGTTTAAACTTTCTGTAAGCCTGTTTGTCTGGGGATGGTACGATGTCGTGAGCTTATGTTGGATGGAGCACGAACGCAGGATATCGTCAACCACTTTCGAAAGGAACGTACGCCCCGGTCTGTCAGCAGTTGACGAGGGGCTCCATGCACAAAAATGAGATCGCGTAGTAGAAAATCAGCGACGTCTGTAGCGCAGCTTGTTGGCATGGCTCGCGTAACTGCGTAACGGGTCGCGTAATTCGTAGCCACCGCGACCCACTTGTTTCCGGAGGCGGATGTTGGGAAGGGACCGAGAAGGTCCAAACCAACACGGAAGAATGGCTCCGATGGGATGTCGATGGGCTGAAGATATCCGGAAGGGAGTCCCGACGGCTTTTTGCGATGCTGGCAAATTTCACAAGCGTTGACATAACGACGTACAGAGCGTGAAAGGCCAGGCCAGTAGAAGCGGCGGCACACACGGTCATATGTGCGAGAGACACCAAGGTGACCGGCGGTTGGCGCGTCATGAAGCTCGCGTAGGACTTTGGAGCGCAGGTGCTTTGGTATTACCAGAAGTAGGTCGTGACCATTGGGCGATAAATTATGCCGATATAAGGTGTGGTCCTTTAAGGTAAACATGCGAACAGCAGCGCCTTGCAGTGAAGATTCGAGTTGTTGTATTAGGCGGCTGATATCCGGATCGCGACGCTGCTCGTCCCCGAGATGAAGCAGCTGAGAGATGGAAAGGACGCAACCCACATAATCAGTGCTGGTAGGATCGCAGTCGGCCACAGGGTAGCGTGACAGACAATCCACATCTTTGTGCAGTTTTCCTGATTTATACACTACGATGTAAGAATACTCCTGGAGGCAGAGTGCCCAGCGGGCGAGACGACCTGTGGGATCTTTGAGGGAGGCGAGCCAGCAAAGAGCGTGGTGGTCGGTGAGAACTATAAATGGTCGGTCGTATAAGTAAGGGCGAAATTTTGCGACTGCCCACACCAGCGCTAGGCATTCGCGCTCTGTGATGGAATAATTAGGCTC